GGTTCAAACTCTTTTCTACCTTTTTGTAAAAAGAAAAGAAATATAATTAAATAAAATAAAATTTAAAATATTGATAATGGAGAAAACATTCATAATTGAAGTCATAATTAAGGAATCCATTATGTAAGTGGTAAATCTATTATGTAAGTGGTGAAATTAAAATAATAAATAATATTAAAAAAATGATGAATAGTAAAATTTTTGGACTATAAATAACAAACATGGGGAAGGCTAAAACTTGCACCAAAAAGTTAGAAAAATTTTGAGAGAAGAGAGTTGGAGGAAATTCTAGTTGCAAAGGAGAAATTCTAGAAGTTTTCGCGAAACAATTTCTAAGCACGAGATTACGTCTGGAATAGAGGTAGGGGAGCTAATCCTTCTTATAAATGATTTTTATACATGTTATGATTATGAATATGAGTTGTGAACATGTGAAAATTTTGGTAATGGTAGTTATCTATTCACTTGTATAAATTTAGTTTTCATGATTATAATTGTCTTATTTTCGAATTATTGTGGTAAAACTTTTCTTTTAATTATTTTAACCGTTGGATTTAGCTAAAATTTTAATATATTAATCCTAAAACCTATTTCTGCACTTTGACCGTTCGGATCATTAATTAGAAGTCTATACTTAGATAAATAAATCTTACATGTTTGAGTAAATTAATTACCCCTATAGTTCTATTACTGAGTACTCTCGGTAAAATATAGATTTTGACCTATTTAACCATTGGATAAATTTGAAAATTAGATATATGAGTTTTAGGATATATTACTACAGTTTTACCGATCAGATTAGTAATTGGAAGTCTATGTTGTGAGAAAGAAATTTTGAAAGTTTGAAAAATCTTATGAACACTATTTCTGTCGTTAGGTTATCATGGTAAACACATCATATATATTTCATTTACCGTTAGATTGAGCCCAAACTTTAGTATATAGTTCATAAGACATATTAAGTCATCTTGACCGTTCGGATTTGTAATTAGATGTCTGTGCGTTGAGGAATTTGTTCCACATTTTGATTATAACCGAAAACCACTTTAAATTCTGCACCTGAGTTACCTCGGTAAAACCTCAATATCTATCTATTTAACCGTTGGATCAACCTTATATTTTAATATGTAGTTTTTAACACATAGTGAATTACTTTGACCGTTCAGATTTAAAATCGGAATTACAGATTTAGATATATTAATTTCGTATCTTCTCAGGGATGTAAATATTGCTAATTTCTATTTTTGAACCATTTATACAAAAATTATGAGTTCTACCTTATTAACCGTTAGATTGAACTAAAACTTTTACCACATGATCTAAACATGTTGTTAATTAGTTTTATGGGTTCAGATATTTAATTAATGATATGAGTGAAGAGAAATGTTTTTACGAGATAGTAAAGTTATTTGAATTAAGTAAAATCTTGAATAATTATATTCTTAAAATTTTTATGTGAAGTTGTATTTTGAATATTGGAAGATGGGTAATACAATGTATTATATATTAGAAAATTTAATTATATTTAATTTCAGTGTTAATATTATATGTTGTTGCTTTAAATCTGTAAATAAGAAATTTGTTAAAAACTAGTTGAGGAACACTTTGGCTAAGGAAAGACTTGGTACTTAAGTTGTCCATTGTGACGCACCTCTCTTTCCTGGAAGTCTACTCGACAAGTTTTTAACTTAAATCCTATTGAACATATTATGTACTGTTAAATTATTGTGTAATATATCTTGTTGGAATATATGCAGTTTGTATGTGTTACTACCGAGGGTAGGCAGCCGACCACAGAGGGTGTTACTACCGAAGGTAGACAACCGATCGGGTATGTCAAACATAGCCGATCGGGCGTACAAAGAAAGTAGACTGCAGACAGTCGTTAAATGCTCATGAATGCAGGGTTAATGAGGTAACGTTCCTTGTCGAGTATTTAAAGTGAGCATTGAAAGCCATTAAAAGGTAAATTAATGAATAATATTCCCTGTAATTGTATAAATAGAAGTCAAAGGGGAAGGTAAATTCTCTGTTCATTCTGATAATTATAGACTTGTGAGAGCCCATTCTGACTTGAGCGTCGGAGTGTTTGCCTGCAGGTCAACCCACTCAAGTTCAACACGAGAGAAAGGAGAGGAAAGGCGACGGACCGATCGGGTGAGAGGGAGTGTTTCCGAGCGGGAGCAGCAGGAGTTTTCCCCGATCTCATTCAGCAGAAACATTTTGGCGCCCACCGTGGGACCGAGGGAAGTAGAAGACAACCTTAACGACCATAAGGATGGACCAAGACCCAGCAGCATTTATACAGGAGATGAGGAGGAGAATGGAGGCTATGCAGGCGGAGATAGAGACCCTGAGGGCTGAGCGTGATGCAGCCCGAGGGGCGCAAGCTAATCGACCATCTTCGGCGCGAGCCCAATCTCTAGTAGTGGAGATGCCGGAAACTGATCCGGATTCAGAAGATGATACCGAACCTATAACGGAGAGTTATGGTCAGGGGGAGGAGCATAGTGAGGCCGGTTCGCATCGGGCTGCTAACCGTCCGGCTCCAGCTGATCGGGTTAGAGCACTGCATCTGTTTACGGCCACGATTATGGAGGAACAGATCCCGGACCGACTATGACGGCTCGGGTGATCCGGAGGAGCATTTGAGGTCCTTTGTGGACGCAATGACTATATATTCACCTAGGGAAAATGTGTGGTGTAGGGTTTTTTCTTTGTCAATAAAAGGAGAAGCCTTAGCTTGGTTCCACTCACTGAAGCCACGAACCATCAATAGTTTCACAACATTGAGGGACATGTTCGAACGGCAGTTTTCGGTGGGACGAGCGCGAAATCTGACGTACCTGGAATTAACTAATATAAAGCAGGAAAATGGAGAAAGTCTTAGAGCTTTCATGGACAGGTTCAACCGAACCGCTCGGCAAGTAAGGGGGGTGGGCAAGAAGTTCACCATCAGTACTTTGGCGACCGCATTGAGACCCTCCCCGTTTACTGATAACCTGTTCGCTGAGCCTCCATTAACCCTGGACGAGTTACAAGAAAGGGTCGCTCGTTTCATTAGAATTGAAGAAATGAGGGCGGTCCAGCGAAGGCAGCAGGAGCAAGGGACGAGCGCGGGGCAAGAAAAGAAAGAAGGCAAGAAACCATTCGTCCTGAGCGAACGGCCAAAGGGCCAGAAATTTAGAGATGGCCCTAGGGGAGGAAGGTACGATCAATACACCCCATTGAACGCACCAAGAGCGAGGGTTCTGGAAGAAGCTCTAAGTGCAGATCTTTTGAAGGTGAGACCGTCTAAGTCATCACCAAAAACAGATGGGACTAAACACTGCACTTATCACTTGAACATAGGGCATAACACCGAGGAGTGCACGGTGTTGAAGGATAAGGTGGAGGAATTGATCCAAGCGGGTCATTTAAGGAGGTTTGTGAAGGAAGAAAGGAAGACAAGAAGCCCTCCCAGGAGGACGAGGGTGGAAAGAGGTGATAGAAGAGAAGACCGGCGTCCCGAACGCCGGAGGAGTAGAAGCCGCAGCCATGACCGATCGCTGCGAGGGACCATAAACACTATCTCAGGTGGGTTTGCGGGAGGATCGTCGGCATCTGCAAGAAAAAGGAACTTGAGGGAGCTCAAGAGTGTCCATAGGGTAGATGTGAGGAAGCGGCACATGCCACCTATCACGTTTACAGATGAAGATTTCCATGCTCCTGACCCGGATGAAGATGATCCGATGGTGATAACGGCAGTTATTGCTAGGTACAGCGTGGGAAAGGTGTTGGTGGATCAAGGTAGTTCGGTCAATATCTTGTACTGGAAAACCTTCCAACAAATGGACATATCCGAGGACCTGATCGCCCCATATAACGAGCAGATAGTGGGATTTTCAGGGGAGCGCGTAGACTCCAGGGGGTATGTGGACCTTAGAACATGTTTGGGCACCGAACGGAGCAAGGAAGTGAAAACCAGGTTCTTGCTTGTGGATGCTAACACTTCTTACAATGTTTTATTTGGATGACCTTGTCTCAACGCATTTGGGGCAATCGTCTCCACGCCTCACCTTACATTGAAATTTCCATTGGACAATGGAAACATCTGTGTCGTTCGGTCGGATCAGAGGATCGTGGGAGAATGCTATATGGCAGGATTGAAGGTTCAACCTTCATTGTCGAGTTCACGCAGTCGGAGTAGGAGAAGACGGTCGGAGGTAGCCATGGCAGACTTAGATCCAAGGACAAATACTGACGATCGTATGGAACCGATGGGAGAGACGCAGCCCTTCCGCTTGGGGCCGAAGGAAGAACAAAGTACAACCATCGGGAGTGAATTGGAGGAAGACCAGGCCAATCTAATTGGCACTTTGTTGAAAGACAACAAGGATTTGTTCGCCTGGACTGCAGCTGATATGCCAGGAATCCATCCGAGGGTAATGTCACACAAGCTGGCATTATTCAAGGAAGCCCGACCGGTAGCCCAGAAGAAGAGAAGAATGGGGGAGGAAAAGCGGTCGACAGTTGCAATTGAGGTGAAGAAGCTGTTGGAGGCTGATTTCATCCGGGAAATCAAGTACACAATGTGGCTGACGAACGTTGTGATGGTAAAGAAGATGAACGGAAAGTGGAGGATGTGTACCGACTTCACCGACCTGAATAAAGCTTGTCCCAAGGACTCCTATCCACTACCAAGTATCAATGCGTTGGTGGATGGAGCTTCCGGGTTTCAAGTATTAAGTTTCCTGGATGCCTATTCAGGATATAACCAAATCCCCATGTTCCCACCGGACAGCGACAAAACGGCGTTCATCACCGAGCGGGCAAACTATTGCTATGAAGGGTAGGCAGCCGACCGCAGAGGGTGTTACTATCGAAGGTAGACAACCGATCGGGTATGTCAAACATAGCCGATCGGGCGTACAAAGAAAGTAGACTGCAGACAGCCGTTAAATGCTCATGAATGCAGGGTTAATGAGGTAACGTTCCTTGTCGAGTATTTAAAGTGAGCATTGAAAGCCATTAAAAGGTAAATTAATGAATAATATTCCCTGTAATTGTATAAATAGAAGTCAAAGGGGAAGGTAAATTCTCTGTTCATTCTGATAATTATAGACTTGTGAGAGCCCATTCTGACTTGAGCGTCGGAGTGTTTGCCTGCAGGTCAACCCACTCAAGTTCAACACGAGAGAAAGGAGAGGAAAGGCGACGGACCGATCGGGCGAGATGGAGTGTTTCCGAGCGGGAGCAGCAGGAGTTTTCCCCGGTCTCATTCAGCAGAAACAGTGTGATTTCTGAAATGATTGGATTTTATTGGATTTGAATATATGTATCTGAACATGGTTGTGAACTATAATGATGTGATTTATGTGGAAAGTATGTGAATGTATGAGATATGTTAGATTCACTATGATAATATGAGGGTATTTGGTTATTCATGTCTTGGGTTAAGTTTCAAAGTCACAATATGTTTCATATACGTAATTCCATGTTCCTTAAGGAGAGGATACATGGTGGTGATCTGGGGGTGTATAGAATGATTGCATTGTAGCTCAGTTTTGGGGGTCATCCTGAAACTCCAATGGTCTTTCTTCTTATGTAGAGATGATTGAACCATGTGGTGAGGAGTAGCAGGAGGTCCTAGTCTTGGGTGCTTCCAGTATTATCCAAGGTGAGTGATTACGGATTAACCTCGTGAGTGTGGTAAGGCGATAGTGTCGGGCGGTAGTGCCCAAGTTTCATAAAGCCACCACGAGTGCAAGACCCGCCATAGCTCGGTAATCATTCTAGTCCGGACGAGTCGGGGTATACCAAGCCAAGACAAGACAAAACGGTGAAGAACAACAAGGAGGATTGGGCGATGACAACGGCGATGCCCACAAAATGAATGAACCGTGGTGGCTGATACCTCTTTGGAAAGTATACCAAATTGTTCAAGTAATACAGTGAATTAAGTCAAGAGTATCGTTCTTCCAAGGGAATTTGAGTTATGGTAAAATTCAATTAAAAATTATTTATCAAGATCAATTACTGATGATAACATTTGTGATTTCAATTTGGAAATTAGTATGAAATTAACAACGTAAAAAAATTAAGATTGAAAAGTATGATAAAAGATCACTGGAATTGGTCTTTGACTAACATTACAGTAAAATCCTGGACACATACATTCTCTGTTCAAGCATTCACAAAAGAGTATCTTGGTTTAATTCCTTAAAACAAGTTCTAAAATTATCCATTAAATTATTAATTCCTTAATTAATTCAACAAATAATTTTGCATGAAGTTCAGATGTTTAGATTAACCAAAAGCATAGAAGCTATTCCTAGCGTAGTTACTTTTAGTTTTTTTTCTTATGTTTCTGGTTCTAAAAATACTTCCCAGTACAAAAGAACCTTTAAAGAGATTTATACTTTCGTATAATCAAAAGCAAGTCAAGAAAAGAACAAGAACATAAACATATATCTCTCATGAAATTTACATTAACGTGTCGTCATACAACTAATTCCAATGAACAGAAAATTTAGCCTATCCTAGACATGTCAAACGTACTCTTTACAACAATTCCTTGCAGAAAGTGAAGTCATGATGTTTGGAAAGGTCTCTTGAGCGTTGATGGGAGGGTCGCACCTCCCACAAAAATTGTGCATAAAAGAATGTTGTATAGTTACTAGGAAGTGACTCCTAGGTCGTCTCTCAAGGACCAATTTGTGTCGGTTCAGTCTCAGATTTTTTTACACGAAGTGGGGGGTTTGTAAGTTTTGTCGATGCGAAAAAAAATAAAACTGACTGGAATTTAAATAAGATAACTGAATTTAAAAATACTGAAATAAATTTTAACAACGGTAAAAACAAGCAGTAACAGACGATAAAAACGGAACAGTAAATATTCAGAAACGGTAAAATTAAATACAGAAATAAAAACACCAGTGAAAATACATTGACAGAAATAAACCGTAAAATTGACGTTTGAAAATAAAATGAACAGAAAAATACATTGACAGAATTTAACGGTTCATAAAACAGGGTAAAATAAAAGAGCAAGTAAAATTAAAAGAACTTGGAAATCAAATTTAGCAAAGACACAAAACTTGAAATAAAACGCCGTGAAAATAAAATTAACAAACTGTTTCGAAACACTGATACACTTCCGAAATAAAACACTACATTTTGCACTTTGCACTGTTGAAAATGGAAACTAAGAGAGCTTAAAGGAAAAAGGAAGAGGAAGAGGCAGAAGCCTCTTCCAAGCCGTGAGTGGTACTAACTACTCCTAAAATTTGATCTAAAATCTAATAAATTCTACTGCCTTTCATTCTCTGCTGCTGCTTGCATTTTATAGTGTCAACATTCTGAACATCCTCCTTCAATTCAGCAATTTGGATTGGCAGCCCGTGAACAAATGTAAAAACCGTGACCTTCTTTTGATTCAATGTGGTCCCCTCCTTTCTCCATTTCAATCAGCTGAATCACCATTTGTCCTTTCCTTCTCTATTTTGGCCGTGATCCCCACCTCTTCTCCTGCTGACCGTGAACTGCCCCTGGACACTCCAAGATGTGCGTGTGGCTGGTTGCAATGCTGCAACAAGAGCTTCTTCATCAATCACCATGGTGCTTATTGCTTGATGCTTCTTCATATTGATGAACACAACCTCAGCTGCTGTGTTCTTGTGTGGGGCTGCACTTTCATTTGCTGCTGGTGGTTGCTTCAACTGCTGGATTTCTTCTTCTTCAACTCGGTAGATACTCCTTGAACTCCTTTACGTGAGCTACAGCAAAATAATAGAGAAACCGTGAGGTGGCCCCTTCATTCAACAAGCTTCACGGCTGCACACTCCAAAAATGAATTCTCCAATATTAAGAAGTGGTGGCCCCTTTTCTAATTCAACACTGAATGCTTTGCCCAAAAAATGAATTAAATTGTCCAACAAGGCCGTGTAAAGCAAAGAATTTTGGATGTATGTAAGCTTTCAAAGTGGTGAATGGACCCCTGGAATATCATTACTTCTCTCCGTTTTCACGTAAGTTTCAAAGTTGTGGCCACTCCATTATGTCAAAACATGTGCTTACAAAATGAATGTGCCGTGACATCATTTCCAGTAACTCAATATTAAATCAATAAAATTCAACATGAGCTTCTCCCGTGAACTATGAACAAAGTGGTGGCCCCCTCCATCTTTCACTCATGCATTAGTGTTTGCCAATGTGAATTGTCTATGGGCCATGTAACCTATTACATCCAATGTCGTGACACTTTCCATTCAAAGGCATGGCATCAACTATTTTCTACCGTGCACCTCTCAGTGGTTTTCTTCCAAGAGTGAATAAACCAATAATATAACCTGTGACACGCATAGCACTTAATTCTTCAGCCGTGTGGTGTATTAGTTCAAAGTTAATAATGATATTTCTTCCAAGTAAATAACCGTGTGCAAATGAATGTTGTTTCAAATGTCCCAAAATATTATCCAATATTTTCTCTACAATTAATAATGTAAATAATTAGTCTCAGATAATTCGAATTAATTAAAATAAGAATTTTTGATCGAATTAAGCTCAATTCAGTAAAATGGGAAAATACTGGACAATTATGCACAATTCCCTAATTAAATCTAGTACAATAAGCTAAGTGAAGTGAAGAAAATAATGATTCATCAATCTCCTGAGTTCTCTAGTATTTTTCTTGCTCTGTTCTTGTGTCAGAATATGATTTATTCCTTTCTGTCACGTCTTTTTAAGCCACTTAACTTAATTAATCCGCTCAGCACACATGTGTGTGCGCTGTGCGAATTTCCTTTAATTGTTGCACTTCAACTGATGTTATTCGCTCAACGCACAGGTACTGATGCGCTATGCGAATTTCCTTTATCTGGCTGTGCGAATTTT